CGACGATCGGAAGGGCCAGACATTTTTCAGAGGTGGTGAAGAAAGAAGAGAGTCGGACTGATCAAGATTAAACAAGTGCAAGAAGGGAGTGTTTACAAGAGGGAGCTCAAGTGTGTTGTGGAACAAAATTAGCGCCTCTATAAAAAGAAGAAATCAAAGAGGCGCTCCTCAGAAATCGAAGAAGCGTCCTCTCGCAAATCGAAGAGTCGGGGCTCCGTTCTCAAAAGCCGGATTCTTTTCTCAAAAGAGGCATTTAATTTCTTAAAAGTTGGGCTTGCTCAGAAACCACGAGCCGAACCCCGGATTTCGCAAGATCAATTCGTCCAGACGTGTTGTCACCCGTCACACGCAAACTCAGCTCTGCGAAAATCACGGGCAGTCTGTCGAAGTGCCGATTCCAACCATCTGTCTCTCTCAGCCTAGTCAGCATTTGTCACATGCAACTGGCAGCTTTGCGGAAATTACGGGCAGCTTTGTCAGAAAGCGCGTAATTTGTACTATTCATCCATCCACCGGCTGCCGACAATGAGTGAGAGAACAGTTCCGGTTGTGACGACAAGTCCTATAAGTTTCTACCTTCGCCTTCCACAGCAAAAGCACACCCTCTCAACACTTCTTCATCTCCGAAAATGCATTCCCAAAGAATCCTCCTAAGTTACTCAGTGTTCCTCATTCCTTGGGATACTCTTGCGAACAACCCATCCAAAGCAAAAGTATTTCATATCATGAAGGTTGAAAGCAAGAGTATCTCATATCATGCTTTCTCCCTGTCTTTTTCCTTGTCTTTGTTTTACGACAAGGAGAAAGAGAGCAATCAGCCAGCATTTGGTATCAATCTTCCGATCTGGAGCCAACTGCCTGGAACCCCTTCGTGATTGCTTACCTAGCCTTGCTCTCGAGTACTCATCTTCATCATTTTATGCTTTCTCTTCGTCTACCACATCTGCCTGGGGGACAGTAAGGGAAGTGAAAATGATACCTCGAAGCATGTGGAGACAATTCAGCTAGGGACAAGGAGAAAGAAAGCAAGAGGTGGGCACTTGGAAAGATTGAAGAAAGAAACAGACCAATACCTCTACCTCGTGCCTGCCCGCCGTGCTGAAGAAACAAGCAGAGAAGAATGCAGCTCGTACAATCAACCCAGCACAAGGAGTCCGAACTGAAGAACTAGAGAAGCTGCCACATCTGCTTGGAGAACAAATAAGGAACTGCAACATAACCAAAGAGCAAAGCTTCGCCGTACAATAGCATAAAATCATCACTTGCAAGTAAAAAGCTAAGTGTCACCCTGTTCAAGAGGAACGCTGTGGAAAATCAACAAGCATGACCAATGATCACTTATTAGTTTCTATTCATTGTCTTTTATTGTGATTTTCAATTTTTCATTTGCAATTTTTTTTACATTTTCTTGCGTTACTTAACTGAATTATTTCTTTTCTTTGCAGGAACTTTTGGTTATTTCCACCCTTGAAGTTGATTGCAGAATTTTAGCGTGGGGGGTAATCACTTGATTTTACTGCAACTTAGGGAAGTTTTCAGTCTAATTGCTTTATTTTGTTTCTTATTATTTATTTATTTTATTTTATTTTTATTTTGCGTTATAGTGTTTTCTGACATTGGGGACAATGTCAAGTTTAAGTGTGGGGGTAGAAATCTCCAGAATTTCATTTGTTTCTGTGTTGTTGCTTTTTGTTTTCTTTAAAAAAAAATTCGGAAAATTTAAAAATCCAAAAATATTGTCTTGTTTTCCTTATTGTTTTGAATTAGATTTTTGTTAGTTTCCCGACCCAATGATATAATTGAATAAAATTTGAACCATGATCATCAAGAACTTAGTTAACATGTGTTTTGTGAAATTCCTAATTCTTTTGTTAGTTTTGTACATGTTTGATCATCTTTGAAAAACCAAATGCACATAGCCTTGTTGATGTGAAACTAAAGCATAACGTAAAGCTTCATATGTGAATTTAGTGACCATATACATCCTATGTGAGCTTTTGAGCCTATTGAAAGTGTGTGCATTTTTCATACACTCCTATTCTTTCATGTGTGATGAACTTATGTGAGATACATCTCTAGAACTTGCGTAACGATCTTTCGAAATGTTTGTCATTGATTACATGAACTTGGAAATGATAGAGGCATTAGGTTTACCACCATGGCCCAAATAACCATGTTTCCCAACAGAAAAAATGATATCATTAGATTGCCAATTTGAGCCGTGTTTGTTGAGCCTTTTATTTCTTATCACCAAATATGTCTACCCTTATACCTGAAACATTTTTTTTTCCTTACCCTTTCCAAGCAAGCTAGTGAGCAATGTGAGATTGTCTTATGAGAAATGTTTGTAAAGTACTTTGAAGGTGTTTGGCAAAAAAATAAGTGTGGGGGTATTTCATATTTGTATTAAAAAAAAAAAAGAAAAAGAAAAAGAAAAAGAAAGATTGTATACGAAGAAAAAAAAAAAATAATGTTTTTTTAAAGTTTCAGTTTAAGGGTGTGATTGGAGGTTTCAGAAGAATCGTTGGAGAGCTTGAGTTCTTATAAATCTAAAGAAAAGAATTGCTTGCAATGTAGCTTAGAACTTGTGTTTTCCTATTCTTTCGTTTCAATAACCCTATCCCTAAGCCTCATTACATCCAATAAAAGTCCTCTTGATTTAAGTTTTGCAATTATGACTGTGGAGAAGTGATCTTTATGCAAGCTTATGGTAGAAATTTCACATTTGATTCTTTGAGCGAAACACATTAAAACTAAACACATATGTGATTGAGTGCATATCCCGTGAGAATGTCGCTAGTTTGCATATGATGATTTTAAAAATAAAAACTTGAAATTGCATTAGCATGGCTATCTCACACACTACACTTCAAGGATGATTCAAAGATTACTGCTAATATTTGAATAAGGAAGATGAACTTGGATTAGTTTGTTTGGTGCTAGCTATGGTTCTTGATGATTTGTTTTCTCGAATGAAACTCTATGAGGGTCACATAGGGGGAAACTAATGTTTTTCATGTTAGTACTTTTTCATGTTTTCTTTGTTTTGCTCGAGGACTAGCAAAAGCTAAGTATGGGGGTATTTGATCGGATCATATTTATATATATTTTTACTTCAAATTCACTCGTCTTTTCTTAGTTAGTTCCTTATATTTTTGAGCTATTTACGTTATTTTTGTGTTTTATAGGATTTGTTATGCAAAGAAAATAAAAAAATGGCACAAATGAGTTTTAAATAATAAATTCGTCGAAAATTGCTTTAGTCGTTCTCATTCTATCATGGGTTATTGGTAGAATTATGTCACGGATTATAGGCCAATTCATGATAATTAATTATTTCTTTCATGTTTCAGGTGGGATGTAGGGATGCCGAGTTTGGTGAAAACTAGTGGGGAGAAGATTAATAATAAGCTGTGCTTGGCAGCATGGAAAAAAGAAATATATAATAGAAGCTGCCTTTGCAGCTAGTGGGAGCACAAAGAAAAAGAAAAGAATAAAGGAAAGGTGTGTGTGCAGCGTGACAAAGAAAACGAATGAGGAATAATAGCTGCTTGTGCAACGTGGTAGGTGGAGGAAACTAAAATAAGAAAGTGGCCACGATTCAATCCAGAGGAAAAAAGCTGCTTAGTGCAGCGGAAAAGAAAAATAAATAAAACGCTGCCTGCGCAGCACAAGTGAGAGCTTGGGGGGAAGAACGCTGCCCTTTGGCAGCGAGGTCAGAGAGAAGAAGCCAAGTCCACGGAACGCAGGGGGGAGCGGGAGAGAGAGCTGCCTTTGGGCAGCTCGCAGAAAGGTCAGCGAGGAGAGAAGGGAGAGACGCAGAGACTGGCGGGGAGAGAGGAGAGCTAAGCTGTCCTTGCAGCTTTGAACCAACACGTGCAGAGAGTCCAGTGGAGCAGCAGAAGGCGGGAACAGAGAGCAGAAGGCTTCAATTTTCTCTCTCGGTTAAATCTTTCCAACTTATGTTTTACTTTCGGTTTAATCTTTCCAAACTTCTATTTTATTTCTGTATTAATAATGTGTAAATAAACTTATTTTGGCTAGAGGTTAATTCAAAGCCATGAATATATTTGTAATATGAATTGATTACCTTCAGTTGTGATTTCTGAGTTGTGATTTAATTTGCTTAACTGCTTGATAGATAACTTATTTTTGTATGTCGATTAAGGATGCATACTTAATTTACATGCATGAATTTGATGCTAGAATATAAGTGAATTTCACCTAATCGTTATGAACTTATATTCACAAGTAGTGAAGGTTGCTAGTCACAATCACGTTAAGTAAATTCTTGGCATAAGTTTCATGCAAATCATAGTAACGAGTGTCTCGTCAATGCTTATGTTTTTCATAGAACTTAATGATTCTTGCTTGTATCTCTATTATGCAATTCATGTAGGGAACTTGTAGGGAATGTTTTGGGTTGTCGTATGCAATCATCCAACCCAATAACTTGTGGAAAAACTGAGGGTTAAAAAAAGTGATGTTCACGGTTAATCTGGAGTATTGAAATTCACAATTTATTGAAAGAACAACTGAAAATCAATTTAGGTTGCATATGTGTCATGTGTAGAGAAAAACCCTCTAGCTAGTCTGTCATTTATCATTTTACCTTAATTTTATGTTTTTGTCAATTCTGTAATTTAATTAAGTTTAATTTACTTTTCATCAAAACCAAACACCCATCCATTATTAAATTATATTATTTAGTTAGTTTTCTTTATTGTTAGTCTTTTAATTTAATTTCCGTCCATTTCAGTTCCTAGTGTTTAATTTAATTGTTTTCATTATTTTGAGTCATTTTAAGTGTGTTTCGAGTTATTAGAGTTTTTAGCCTAGTTTTGTGTCCTTGAATCTTATTTAATATTTTAAATTAATTTAGAATAGATTAGCAATCCCTCCTAATCCCCGGCCTAGAACGATACCCTACTTACATCTATACTACAACTGTCAAAAAGAGGGTTTAATTTGTGTGTCAAGTAATTTTCACATCAGTGTGCTATTCTCCTTCTCTTTTACATTGAACAATCTAAGCACATCCGTATTTTTTTTCATTTTTCAGGTTTTCTCCGTTTCATATTCACCGTGAACTTATTAGTCATTATGCCTTGATGATAACGATGTCGTAAGAGTCATTTGTGTTGCAAAACAAGGTTTGCTCTGTTGCTTCTAACATAGTTGATTATTCTGTTAGAGATTAAAGATGGTAACGTTTGGGGGTTTCCTTGTAGATTTACATTTATGCTGCCATTTCTTGTCTACTAATTTTTACACCTGTGGCTTATTTTTGTTTTCTTTTACATTTTCCTTGTTCTGTTACGTCTTGCCTAGCCAATATAATAATTATTTTGTCTTTGTTGTGTAACATTCTCCAGTCACAATCTCTATATGTCAAGAATCTGAGCTTTAGGACATCAGACGAGAGTTTGATAAAGCATTTTAGTGGACAAGTGAAGGGGGGAAAACTATTAAGTGTTAAGGTAATAATCAGCTGCCTAGAAGCGCTACTTTTACTTGATATATTTTCTTGTCTATATCCTCTTTGCTCTATATGCAGGTAAAGAAACACTTGAAGAATGGGAAGAATGTTTCAATGGGTTTTGGTTTTCTGGAGTTCGATTCTGTGGAGACAGCCACAAATGTTTGCCGGGATTTACAGGTGAAGCCAGAATCTGGTGAAAATTACTGCATTCAGTATACAATTGTGGAAATTCATTGCAATTAATATTTACCATTTTCTAGGGAACTATTTTGGACGGGCATGCTCTTATTTTGCAACTTTGTCATGCCAAGAAAGATGAAGTGCCTAAAAAGGTTGACAATGATAAAAGCTCGACAAAACTACTTGTGAAAAATGTAGCTTTTGAGGCCACAGAGAAAGAACTGAGACAGCTATTTAGTCCATTTGGCCAGGTGAATTACTAAACTTTGATGAGTTACTACTACCTACCAGATTCCGGATCCTCTAATATTTTTTCATGCAGATTTTGTACTTATGATTTAAAGTATGCAATTTCACACCTTGTTTGATTATTTTTCTACTACATTCTTAAACAGTGAATTTTAGACAAAATGTTATGCCGTGAACCCCAAGGCGACGTCGTTTTAGCCATCACCGTGTTATCCCGTGAAAAGTTTCAAGGCGACGTTATTTTTCTAATATATACACTGTTGCCCTCCCTCACCAGTGTAAAGTAATCTCATTCTATGATAGGTGGTCTATACCATTCATCAAGCTTTCGCGACTTGAAACTTTTCACTCGAGCTTTGGCGACTGGAAGCTTTGGTCTATACCATTCACTTCCTTTGTCCGATTAGATGCTCATTAATTATTATTTTTTTGCTGTTTTAGGTACCATCTATATCGAGATGAGGATATACTGGGAACACTGCATGACTGATGTATTGTTTGACCTATGATCGTGTTAATTTTGTTCATGATTTATCCTAGTGGATTTAAGTTCCGTAGCATGGAGTCGATCTTTGTCAATGCCCCACTGTTTAAATTTGTTATGTGCTTATATATTAGATGAAGGAGAACGTGTAAAACTGTTCTGCTATTGGGCAAATAATTTGAATGCAACTAAGACGTCTTTAATATGTATAAAGTTTATCTGAATCCCTACCGAATGTCTGCTCCAGTTATACAATGTTTATTCTTCGCTTATTTTTGAATTCGCTATGTCAGCGAGGACTAGAGATGCTTGCAGACCGGTGGTCGCGGCTGCTTGCTTTCTAAGGTAAGGGTTTGTTAATTCGCTCGGTCACCGAGTGCTTCTGGCTGTGGCTCTCTTCGGGTTTTGACAATGGAGCTTCAAGAGCTGCTACTGTTATGGTAGCGTTAGATAAAATCACAGTAGTGGTGCTTTGAACCAGATTTTGTTATGTTTTTAGTCCCAATCTTCTGCCGATTGCTCACCAGATTTTGTTACGTTTTTAGTCCCAATCTTCTGGTGACAGTACTGTTTTCATTATCCTGCTTCTTAGTCCGACACTGCAACAAACACTTCACTAAGTTAGTCCAGCTTAGTCTAGTCTAAGCCAGTCCAGCTTAGTCCCTGAAGCTAGTCCAGTCTGAGACAGTCCGGTGCAACAAACGCACCCTCAGTGTTCTAAAAATTGATCTAAATGGCCGCTTAGGCACTGGGCGATTGCTAGCCGCTGATATTTAAACAAAATCGGAAGAAAAATAGGGAAAAGAATTAGGCGGTCATTGGTCGAGATAGGCAGGTATCTGGGCGGCCTAGGTGGGCGTTGGGCAGTACCTGAAACTCTCCGACTCTATCGCAACCCACTGTCTTTGCACGGCAACCTCGCCGGTGTCCAAACACATGGATGACTAATTGAATAAATCGAAGAGCCTTTTAGCAAATCGGAGAACTTGATCCAAAAATAGGAGATTGGAAGAAGAGATTTGACATTTATAAGGAGGAGGTCGAGTCGCTGTTGCTTCGTCTTCTTGCCGCTAACTGTGAAGAGTCCGAAGTCTGAAGTCTTTTCCTTTCTTCCTGTTAATTGGTTTTCTAACTTTTTTTTACTTTAGTTTAAATCTATTTTCTAAATATTAATATAATATTCATACCCAAGAGTTATTGTAGCAGTGGAATCGAGAGTCTGGTGTTAAATATGTTTATCCATTTTCAAGGGTTTAAGTATAAGTTATTATCTTATGTTAATATGTATTTTACTTCTTGTATTTTGCTTTTTTTTTTTTTTAGTTGTTGTCCATTTAAGTTATGTTATTTAGTATTTTAATTAATAAAGAGATGATGTATTAGTCAACTAAATATGAATATGCATGTCCAATGAAACCGATGAAATACGTTGACGAGGCCACAATGTAACAAGTTCAATGCACATTTTGAAGGTTGGGAGGATTACCTAAATCCGCCTAGTGATATACAAGATATACAAAATATGGCACATCTTTAGAAAGTTGTTATATCATTTAACACGTGTATAGTGGTGCCATATTGAACTTGTTATATCATTTAACACGTTGTTTTTACATTCGAGGTATTGCAGTTGGATGAAGCAATTCGGATGGTCGTTGTGGAGCCAAAAATAATCATAAGGCGACACGTGGATTTTTGGACAAAAAAGGACAAAAATACCCTTGAGGTACAACGGGATTCCTACGCGCGAGCAGCTGACAATCATCCTTCAACCAAATCAAAAGTGCCCATAATAGGCAACAAATTCAAAGTTATTTCATCCATCTTCATCCTATATCTTCCACAAGGTAATTATTTCATAACCTTCAAAACATCCCATATAAATTACATAACACCCAAAATATTTATTCCAAAAATGTGTTGATTAACCAATTAATGGATTAATTGCCTAATTAATCCATTAAATCACACATTAAACCATAAGTTACACCATATCCCTATAAATAGGCTCCCATTTTCACCAAAAGATCATTCCAACATACTTGCAAAATTCTCAATACTCTTTGGCATCAGAGGTTTTTAGGCCAAAGTGTTCATCGCGGGCGCGTGAGACTCTTGACCTTGACCCTAAGGTGTTAATTGTTTTGTAGGTGCAATTTTGTCCAAGATCAAGGAGGAAGAAATTTGCATCCACAAATTGGTGCTTTCATTGAGAGAAGAAATCCACACTCGTAGAAGACTCTCGCATAAAAAAGGTTTTTCTCTATTTTTAGTCTACTTGTATTTTTTCGTACGTTCTTATTATTAGAATTTTTTATTTGCAAAAATTCTTTGATAAAACGTAAAAGAAGAATACAATGGCTAGAAAATTAGAAAATTCCATAAGTGAAAATTTCAATATTCAAGAAATGGGACCACAGCGATCCACGAGGCTAAATGTGATCATAGGAGCGGCACCATCGCTATGGGGCTCCACCATGGCAACCACCGCAGTAGCCACCACGGCCACCACTACCCGCGGCGAGGTCCATGGCACCGCTACCACGGCCCGAGCCGTGCCATCCAAGGCTCACAGTACCAAGGCCACGACCCAAGCCATGTCACTCCAAGCCCAACGCGAACTCAATGTGCTGCCAAGTCGAGCCCAAGCCTCGCATCCATATGCATCACACTCCGATCAGCCCACTTTTGTGGCCCAGTCTGCTCCCGTAGAGTAGCCCACTCTCGCGGCCCAGCTTGCTTTCGCGGAGCAGCCCACTCTCCCAGCCCAGCCTGCTCCCGCCGAGCAGCCCACTCTCCCAGCCCAGCCTGCTCCCGCCAAGCAGCCCACTCTCATGGCCTAGCCTGCTCCCGTGGCCCAGCCTGCTATAGCTGAACAACCCACTTTTGTGGCCTAGCCTGCTCCAGCTAAGCAGTCTACTCTCGTGGCCCAACCTGCTTCTGTGGCCAAGTCTACTCTCGTGGCCCAACATGCTTCCGCGGCCAAGTATGCTCATGTGGCCTTCCAAGTAACCCAAATTGATCTAAGATTAGTTTAATCGTCCCGGTTTTAAATTTCCAAACTGACGATCGAACCGGGAGCATTTTCACCATATTTTTCTTCGGATTTGACGTTTCCCAACTCAAATCTCGTGCTCGAAGTCTACCACACTTCCACTGCTCAAGGAGACTTATTCCTTCTAAGTTATTCCAACCCAAATGGAGAACAACATTTGTCTCGACAAGTCATAGAGTTGACGAGCGCCCTTGCACATCAGCCGACCTTGGTAAACTGCTCTTGCAGCGTACCGAGATGCAACGTGCCCCAGAAGAGGTGTCCCGACGTAGGACAAGGGCAGACAAAGAACCTCTCAAGCAGCATCCCTGCAAGCAGCCACTCGACCAGCTACGAACCGAGCGTTCAAGCAGTGTACACTCCCAATTGGGCTCCCGAGATAGTGTATACTCCCGTCTTAGAGTGCAGAGGAGCGTGCACTCTCGACTAGGTCCACAGACAAGCATACATTCACGGTTGGGGTCACACTTCGATAGTCAACATGAGCAACCTTCCAAGCAAAGTGTTTATTCGTGGCTAAGCTCGCAAGGAGCATCATCCACCTCACATCAGAGTAGGCAGCACGACTGATGGAGAGAAGCAGTCAATCAATACGGCTCAAGTTCAACCGGCAGCCTGCGAAGAACTCGTTCACTTGTTAGGAACGCGCTACACGCACTACATCTGCGATATAGATGAGCCAAAACACGTGGAAGAGCAGCAGCCTAGACCAGCAAGTCACTGTTAGGGGCAGCCGAGAGCTCCCCTACCTCAACAAAGACAAATTCAAGAAGAAGTAGAGAGACTCTTGACCAAGCGATTGAGCAATTTCCAATGTAACGAGGTCACCGACGAGGCACTACGACGGAACATGACCAACATAAGCAGGCCACCCTTCACGAACAAGATCGAGCAGGCAGAGCCTCCAAATGAGTTCAGCATGCCACATTTCACATCTTTCAAAGAGGATGAAGACCCAAAGAGACACTTAAAGCACTACCGAAGTGTAATGATCCTCTATCGAAACAACGATGATCTCATGTGCAAGATATTCACCACCACTCTACAAGGTGAGACGCAAGATTGGTTTTACACCCTGCCGCCACAATCCATCCAGAATTTCGACAAACTTTCTTTGGTTTTCACCAAAGAATATTCATCCTATTGCTCGATAAAAAAGAAGTCCGACCATTTGTTCGACGTCAAGAAAAACCCAAAGGAGTTGCTTCGTGACTATGTGAAGAGGTTCAAAGCAGAGAAGGCAAAGATAGTCAGATGCAACGACTTGATCGCTAGAGCAGCATTCCAAAAAGAACTTCTAACAGACCACCCGTTATTCGAAAAATTGATCATGAAAGAAGATCTAACTTTGGCAGACTTTTTCGCTTTGGCAGAGAAGCATGCATTTTGGGATGAGGCTCGCCAATGTACATTCAAGGACTTGAAGAAGTACCCGACATTACCTCTCTACTATCTAAACTAGAAGCAGCGGAAGACTCATTCGCATGTTTGACGATATATGAACCAGCAATAAGCTATATTATAATACGAAAAGAGTTGGGGGCATGACTACCTGTATTCTACAGTTCGAAAGCTTTCCTCGATGCTATTGGGAATACAAAAGCTAACTTTGGTGATAGTTGTTGTAACCCGAAAGCTCAAGTTTTACCTTCAAACGCACGCAGTCATCATCATGACGCACTATTCCGTCGAATCCAGACGCGTGACGATAAAGGCGTAGACCCTGGCGGATGCAAAGTTTTCTGACGAACACAACAACTCGGCCAAAAAGGCACGCCAAGGGCATACGAACACTGGAAGGACCATTCAGAAGCAAGTTTTGTCCTCGTAGCCCCAGAAGATTCTACATAAGAGCAATATGTACCAGCAGTTGAGCACTACCTCCTGCTGCGTGTC